TAAACTTAAAAGTCACCCTTATTGGTCCACTTGAGAAAGGAAAGAGTCTGGTTCAGACACTACAAAAAGCAACTGGCATCATCACTTCCTTTATGCCAGAAAACCTGACTCCATCTGTACGAGAGAGAGAATATGTTTCATCATTCATTCCCTCCATATGCCAGGGTCAGTCCCACTCTTCTGATTTCAGCCAAATGATTGTATTTGTTGATTTTGATAAAAGTGCTTAATGTCTTCCTGTAAATATTGTGCTAGGTGCTGAAGCAAAGATGAACTAGATAGGCTCCGATAGGATATAAATTACAGCTAATTACAGTAAAAGCAGAATCTGAAAAGTTCAAATAGGTTTTGACTGCTTTCCTTCTTCATATGCATAGTAAATAACTAATATAAAGCAAACAATTTCATGAACAGTTCACTATTGATCAAATAAGCTATGATCTTACTGATTACCTATAACTCATACCGCTAGTTGACTTAGTATGGTAACACCCTTCTCCAATAGTACCATATTCCAAACTCTGTATGTCCTTCAAGATTAAGTTGTACCTTCTCTTGAAATTATTTCCTCAGTTACCATCTTATCTGAATAAAATAAAGATCTACCCCTGAGTAATACTGCTTATGCTCTGGAATCCTGTGTACAAAAGCTCTCTACTGGAGATACTAGTTGTTTATCCATTAACCAGTGATGCATTTTTTAAATATATTTGTGGTAGGTACTGCCTTCTTTACCCCTAACTGGATAAGACCAAGGAAGCATGTAGTCATTTTGCTGTCCTATGACTAGAAGATGGGTCTGGCTTATGATAGAAGCCAAAATTGTAGGCTACAAAGTAAAGAATTGGAAAGAACATGCATCTTTGATGACTTGATTAATAAATACAGAAGCCTATCCTACACTCCCCAGTCAGAAAAGTTAGTAAATATTCTTATGTATAAGCTAGTTTATGTGGTCTTACAAAGGAAAGTAATGACATCAGTCCGAATTTCTTACTGTGTTAAATACCAACTCTGAATAACGTTGGGTAATTACCCTGAGAAAGGTTAGGTAAAGGAATTGATATTAAAATCAATTTATAGTTAGAAGTTGTTATTATTCATTAGGAACAGGCTAAAATATTAACTAAATACTTTTGTGTCCAGAGCATTTTGATAATGGCTAACAGTTGACACTAACATTTAAAACTCAAGCCATTAACAATGACAAACAAAATCTTGTGCTTTCAAACTGAAGTACTTAAAATAGAGTTGTAGTTTCACAGGTAAAACATAACAATTTGGAATAGAAATTGAGTGTGAGGTATAGCAATCACAGAATTTTATAGAAGTTTACTCAGGTCAGCTGGTTAGAGATATAAGTGGGTCTTTGATTTAGACAGACGGAAACTGGTGGAGGAGAAGATCACAACTGAGGTAGGGAATGACAAAATAATCTGTAATGTAATTAGACTACAAAGTTGAGGCTTTCAGTTTGAAGCTTGTGAACATGACTTCAACCTGTATTTCACATGTTTTACACTTCAATTTTGTAAAACACTGAGAAAAAAATCTGCTCTTCATCTCATCTCTATAAAAACTTCCCTGTCAATAAAAATTGGCTTCCATTAGCTGAAGACATTATTATTATTCAAAATGATCAGGAAGTGAAGCTAAAGTCATGACAAAGTAAATTCTGTTTCTTGGTACTTTTTAAAAATTCCTCTGTGGGAAAACATAGATCAATACTCTTCAGCATGAACATTTTGCAGTGAAATTTTCATTTGTAACAAACAGCAACAAAAAAGCCTTAAGCATTCCCTGTCACTTTCAGTTTAGGAGAAAATGTACTAATAAACTCTTACCCTTGGGTCATCTTTGACAACAGGCAATACCATGCCAGCTCTTATTAAAGACTATTCATATCACTGCCCCCAAAATTTCCTTTAAAATTACCATCTTTAGTATCCATGTAACAGGATGTCAGCTTTAAACGTGCCAATGAGAGATAGGACCTGTCAGCACAGTTAATACTCAGCATTGTTTCAACACCAGGACAGCTGACCCCCAAGGGTATGTTTTTGGTTAGTCATATTTATTTGGTGGTTATCTCGACAAACAAGAAAAATTATTCCTCTATATTGATTTTCAAATAAAACAGTAAGCAACGTCTCACCTGTAAGTATTAAGTGTAGAACAACCCAAAATATGTTGAAAGAAAAATAAAACTTCCAAAACTATCAAACAGAATTTTTCTAAAATGATAGCAGACTCTGGATAACAAATTCAAAATGCCGTCATCTTTAAACTCAATCTTTCCAACATAAAAATTACAAAGTTTGTGGTAGGACTTTCTTTAAAAAAAGGAATAAGAAGACCAGTTGTGGTGGGTCATGCCTGTAACCCCAGCACTTTGGGAGTCTGAGGTGGGTGGATCACGAGGTCAGGAGTTCAAGTCTGGTTAAGGAGTCTGAGAAAAGTCTGGCCAACAAGGTGAAACCTGTCTCTACTAAAAATACAAAACTTAATCAGGCACAATGGTGCACACCTGTAGTCCCAGCTACTCAGGAGGCTGAGGCAGGACAATTTCTTGAACCTAGGAGGCGGAGGTTGCAGTGAG